ACCTGGAGGTGTTGGCACCTTATGACGTCTAAGCAGAAGGAATCACCGAGTTTTCTTTGGAACCTCTGTAACTTGTGGTGCCAAACACAGCTCCATCTACCCTGCCCTACGTCAAAGCTGACACCAATTTACCTTCCAGTTGCTCAGGCCAAATGCCTGAGGGCCATTCCTGTCTCCTTTCTGCCTCTCATACCACACCCCGAACCATCAGAAAATCCTGGAAGGAGTACAACAAATACAAATCAGAGTGCTCAGATTTATTTCATTTATTTTTTATTCAACTGGATGGGACAACTGGATGCTGCTAGTCTCAATTTAGAGGTGTTTTTTTTTTCCCCTCCACCTGAAAGGGTGTCTGTTAGTTGAAGAAAAACATATTGGGCATATTATTTAAAACATGATTCACACATATTATTTAAAACATGATTCTTGTTTCCAAGAAGCATCTTTATCTAGAAAACCAGCCTGAAGTTTGTCTTATTTTCTTGTTTTTATTTTTTCATTTCAGGCCAAAGCATTGCAATCAATCCAAATGTGTATCCTTGGGGAATACAGCTTAGGTGGTCACAGGGATAAAGTATTGCTTTCTTCTTTATACTTTTCTCATTTTTTTTTGAAGCATGGTTACAGAGTATTTTTATTTAATTTTTGTTGGTCATGGGGCTTGAACTCAGGGCTTGGGTATGGTCTCTGAGCTTTTTTGCTCAGGCTAACCATCTACCATTTTGAGCCACAGCTCTACTTGAGTTTTTCTGGTAGTTAATTGGAGATAAGAGTCTCATGGACTTTCTTGCCCAGGCTGGCTTTGAATCACAATCTTCAGATCTGAGCCTCCTGAGTAGCTAGGGATGAAAGGTGTGAGCCACTGACATCCACCTCTGATTATTATTATTTTTCTAATTGGTTTTCAGTCTTGAAACACAAGTCCATATGCTAGGCAAGTGCTCTTTACCTCTAGCCCCTACAGATTATTTGTTTAGCTATGAAAGATTGGTTCAATCTTTTTCCCAGTGACAAGACACTTAAAAACAGAAACAGACTTGAGGCCTCTTCTAATGGATCCACAAAAAGGCAAGTCTTCAGGCAGCACACCTGAACTCCAAATAGAAGCTTCCTTTCTCTCACACATTCTAAGGCATTGAGACATTTTTCTCCTGATACCACCCACACACACCAGGATTGAAGCCAAGACAAGACAGGTGCCTGGAGGAGCAACTGGCAAAGTGTCTGAGCCAGGTGGAGGACCTCAGGGCCCCCACCCCTTCTTGCCCTTCTGTTTCTGATTCTCTTCCATCCAACAGCATCTCCTTGGCGCCCCCCCCCACTCCCACTTCTTTTTTCTTTTTGACTCCCAACTCTTTCCATATACACTTTGGTGAGGATGAAGACAATCCTGATCCAGAAATGGGCTTATGACTTCTTCCTGGCCAGTTCTGACATTCTCCTGACCATGATATTTAGTTCAGAATGGAAATGAAAGTCTGTTTCAGGGCATTTCCCTTTAAAAAATGTTTTAGTGTTATTATAAACACAGAGGCGTTACAGTTACATAAGTCAGGTAAATGAGTACATTTCTTTTTGGACAATGTCATCCCTACCCTCAATCCCAGTTTTCCCCTCCAGTTCCCCATCCACAAGTTGTATAGTCCGTGTTCAACATCGTGTCTAGTGAGCACCACTGCTGCAATAGTTCACCCTTTGCCCCTCCTCTATTTCTGTGCCCCCCTTACCCTCCCAAAGACAGATAAATAAGACAAAAAGAACAAAAAGTTGGAAACAGTAACAAAGAAACAAAAACCTCATTTCCATTTCCTGGAGTTCATTTTGAAAGATATATTAGATGATCAGCTGTACATAGGCATTGTGCCTTTGTGTTCCTTTCATGAGCCAGGTTATTTCTTTTGAGTGTTGAAGGAAGCCCTTACTTTCCTGCTGGGCTTGAACCTGGTAAAACAAAACAAAAACCACTTCCTGCCCTTTTAGGGCTATCTGAGCCAGTTGATTATTTCTTTTCCATCCTTTCTTGTAGCCATGAAAGTTAGATATTCAATCAATCGAAGACTAATACAGTGAATCAAGAGGACAAAGGATCATAGGAGAGAAACATGATTGCAATCTGAAACTTGTCTGTCTGAGGAAAACTGTAGCCTGGAGGCCTCAAATCCTGACAGTACCTGGTCACTATGTGTCAATGTCCAAGGCATTACATAAGAATGAGGGGTTTTGATGTGCCTGGACACCAAGCCTCCAACCCTAGGAAGAGGTAATCAGACGACCTAGTCCTGAGTAGTTCCATAGGGTTTATATTACAGGCTCACCAAGCAAACTCCATAAGCTTTCCTACTATTCATGGATTTCTACCATATGCATTCTGTCTTATAGCAGTTCAGTTTGTCTTGCAAATAAAACCTTAGGGCCCGCTTCATTTGTTGGCGTCCTGTGAATTTTTGGCTGTAGTCTGATCAACACTGCCCATCCCTGGGGAATTTTGTGGGGCTTATCTCCTTAGGAGACTCCATGTAAGTTCACCGTTCTCTGGATGTGTGTGCAGTCCTTCATTAACGTATGTCCTCTCCTATAATTTTTTTTTTTGATGGACAGAATTCAGAGAGAGTGACCTTCTTCAAAAGATCTTGAGGCTCCCCCCTTCCTCCTTATTGGATCCCCCAATATCCAAGTGAAAAGTCCAGGATAACTTCTACCCAGAAAAGGAGACCACCAGAAAGGCAAAAGGATGAAGCATTCTGTTTCTTTTTTGCCAGTCCTGGGGCTTGAACTCAGGGCCTGGGCACTCTCCTTGAGCTTCTTTTGCTCAAGGCCAGCACTCTAACACTTGGGCCACGGCACCACTTCCGGCTTTTCCTGTTTATGTGGTACTGTGGAATTGATCCCAGGGCTTCATACATGATAGCCATGTACTTTGCCACTGTTAGTATTATGCTCACCTTTGGTCCTCAGCTCTACCCAGACCTGAGCCCCTCCAATCCCTGGAGTTCCCAACATACAGCTGGCCCTTCTCTCTCTTCGCCCAGATCCACCTGGGCTCCCATCTACCTCACTTCCAACCCTCAGACGCCTCCTGCTACCTGGATGGATGCTCCCTCTTGGGGGAAATATGACTCCTCTAATAAACTTTATAATAACCTTTCTCCTGAGCCTGCCTGCCTCTGCAGGTCCCCCTGGGATGGGTGTGTGGGACCCTTCAACAACTAAGCCACATTCCCAGCCTGAAGCATTTTATGTAGGAAGAAGGGCTTTATTAGAAGATGCACAGGTACCAGACATCCAACATCCAGCCACTACCTGAGGCACAGATCTAAGAGACTGGAAAGTGTGCTGCTAAGTATTGTTGTTATACAACTACACCCTTCCTCTAGGCTGGTGCACAGGCTTGAATGGGAACGACTCAGGTAGATGTCAACCTCACAGGCCCCTCAGTCTGCTACCCTTTGTTAGTGGAGGGGCTACATAATTCCAAAATCCAACTCCTAGCGGAGTGGAGTGACACATTTTCCAGTATCTCAGACACTAAAAGCCTGGGCTGTGCCTGCTGCTGTCCCCACAAATGGCAGGTGATCACCACAGGCGATGCTGGGTAGAGGACAGTATGGAAATTCTGTCCTGAATATAGAAAATCTAGATCCTGAAAGAATGTTTGTCCTCCGTCCTTTTCTCATTCTGCCTACTATCTAGCCGTAAGCAACAGTCACGCATTTCCCACATTCTTTACAGTTCGAGGCCGACTTTCAGTGAGGTGTGTGTGTGTGTGTGTGTGTGTGTGTGTGTTTCTTCTTGGAATCTACTTTTCTCGCTTTTTCTTTTTGTGGAACAGGGGCTTGAACTCAGGGCCTTCACTTGGCAGGCACTACCACTTGAACCACACCTCCAGCCCTTTTTGTATTTTTCAAATAGGGTCTTCCACTTTTTTTGCCTGGGGCCTATCAGGGACAGAAATCTTCCTGCGTCTGCTTCCTAAGTACCTGGGATTACAGTATCATATCGTAGACCACCATGCCCAGTTCTCTCCCTTCCTCCCAATCTCTTTTTTGTGATAATCAGGCTTGCTAGGCAGGTGCTCGACCACTTAACCATCCTTCCAACCCCTTTGTGCTCCGCATTATGTTTGAGATAAGAGTCTCACTTCTGCCTGGACACAGGCCTGGGGTGACTTGCCTATTTTAGGCCCCAGCCACAACACCCAGCTGAAGGGGATCTTGTGAACTTTCCTGCCCCAACTGCCCAATCTCAAACTTCCAGATAACCAGGATTACAAACATGAGCCACAGATGCCAGCCCAGCTTGCTTTTGAGACAGGGTCTTGATTCATCTACTGCTGACCTCAATCCAGGATCCTTCTGTCTTTACTTTGGAGTAGCTGGGATTAGCCCCATACTTGGCCCCTCACTCATTCCTGAAGGGTTGATTTTCCAGAGAAAAGCCAGTAGCAAGCAGTACATCCTAGTTTGCCATGTGGGTAGTGATGGTGGCGGTGTGTGTGTGTGTGAGGAGGAAGCTCTTCTTGTCCTTGCCATATTCTTTAGCATACATGTCTAATGTGTTTAACGTTTGTGGCGAGCTGTGCCCCTAGACTGGGAGGTTATTCAGGACAAGTGGGGTCTGATCCGTCTGTGTGCCAGAACTGCCAGTCAACAAATGTTTTCTGATGCAAACATCATGTGACACAGCCCCATCAACCACCAGTTTTCCTTCAACAGAGTACTTAGTTCTTCAAACACTATTATTCTTGTTCAGGCTAGAACCCCACTACCAACCCCCCCCCCCAAAAAAAAAAAAAAAAAAAACTGTCCATTGATTAATTCTTTGGGCTGAATTATCATTCATGGATGGAAATGGGCCATTACTTTTTTTTTTTTTTCATAATGAAGGCAGGAAAATCAACCGACGGTGCAAGATCGGATGTTCTATCTTTAGGAAGATCAAGACACTGGCTAAGGTGAAGCGTGAGAGCCTAATCTGTGTTCCCACGTGATTGCCAGGTCAAGGCCTCAGGAAGAGGAAAACGCGAGAAGAGGAAGATCGAGAGAAAAAAAGGAGATCAAAGCGAGCACCCAGAGAAAAAGGCAGATCCAGATAAAGCAAAGAGGGCCCTTAGGAAGGGGCGAAAACAGAGAGGACAAGGAAACTTAAAAGAGAGCGGGAAGAGAAGAACTAAAGGAGGGCTGAAGTGCGTCGGACTGGCTCATGGCCCTCAGTGCTGGGGGGAGGCTGGGGGCGGGGCCTGAGACAAGCGCCGTGCGAATAACGAATCCCCCCCCCTTACTTCCGACGCAGGATGGTCGCGCCCGACGGCGGCGGCCAATGGGCGATCCGGATGTTGGAGCGGCGGTGGCGGTCGGGGTTGCTCGCTGGCTGGGGGTAGGCGGCCGCCGCCATGATGCTTGTTTGCTTTCAATGAAAACGAGGGGGGCGCGGAGGAGGAGGCGTCGGCGTCGGTGGCGGCGGCGTCGACGGCGCGGAGGCGAAAGCGGTGGCGGCGACGGGCGCAGCGAGGAGGGCGAGGCCGGGGGCCGAGACAGCGGGAGGGCGTAGTGGCGGCCGGTCGGGGCGGCGGAGGCGGGCAGCTTGAAGCGGTGGCGCTCGGAGGGGGAACAAAGAGCGGCGGCTGAGGCGGCAAACGAGCGGCGGCGGCGGCGCTGCAGCAGCGGGCGGGACTGGTATGGTGGTTCCACAGGTCAGACCCCGCTGCGCTCACAGGGAGGAGGCGGCGGCGGCGGCGGCGGAGGCGGCGGAGGAAGGCGTCGCTCCTCGAGAGGTGAGCGAGCCCCGGCCCGAGGCCGCGCCCCCCCCGGGCGCGCTGCTGCCTCGCTCGGCCCGCGCTCCGACTCTTTCCCGCCCCCCCCCCTCACCCACCACTCCAGGCCCCCCTTCCCTCCGGTCCGCTCGGCCCCGGACCTGGACGCGCGCACGCGCGTGCGCGCGCGGGGCTCCGTCGTGGGCAACTTTATAGTTTTGGTGCATGGCGGCCACAAACTGCTCTGCTGAGACTGATGATCAGGTTGTTGGGAGTGGGGTGAAGGGGGAGGTGGGGCTTGTCACCCCGGTTCCCCCCCCCCCTTTCCTCATCCTTCCCCAGGACCCCTCCCCCTCCCCTGTGGACGACAAGATCGCGATCCCGCCCCTCCCCGGGCCGCGCCACCCGTCCCCCCCCCATCCCCCGTTGCTCCAAGTACAGCAGTGTATGGGGGGGGGGTGATTGACGGCGGGGGCGGGCACTCTGCCTCCTGGGACACCCCCCACCGCCCCCCCCCACAACCTAGTCTGGGACTCACGGGGCCCCCTGACGGGTGGCAACTTCTGAGAAAGTGGCTTTGCGCTCTGTGGAACTTTGCGCTCTACGAACGTTGTGACCGCCAGGCGGGAAGGCGACTGTTTTGTTTTGTTTTGTTTTCTCTTTACTCCAAATTCATTTATTTATTTGACTTATTTTCTGCCTGAGCTGGCTTCGAACCTCGATCCTCAGGTCACAGCGTCCTGAGTCGCTAGGATTACAGGCGTGAGCCACCAGCAGCCCTGGCCTTCAAAAGTATTTTAAATTTAACTTATCATTGAGGGGGTGGGGGGCAGGGAAGGGATCGGGATGAATTTTATGGTTAGAGAAGCACTTTTTAGCCCCAGATGATTCGATGGTAGTGCCGAGGACTCGGAAATTGTACTTAATAATTGGAAGTAGTTTCTTTTCCTCCCTGCAATCGCGTTCTCGTTTTGTTATTTTTTAACTTCCAAGTCGTTGGGTTCCCCCTCCAACCCCACTTTGGCTTCCTTTGACTCGCCTCCTTTGCCTTCCTGAAAGATCCTGCCAACCCAACACCTGTAATCTCTCCTTTTCTTTAACTGTAAACAACAAATGGCAACATTGTGAATGGTCTCAGTGCCTGACCTTCTTGGATTTACTGTAAGCTGATGTTGAAATAATCTGCTTGAATTTGAGTTCCTATATTTAGCTGTTTTACAGGTGGACTGGATAGTGCTGAATATTCTTACCTGCTTGTAGCTGAGATTTTTTAACTTTGGAGAGGAAGAGTGTGAATACTGAATAAATGTAAAATGGTGTGTAGTTTGTATTCTTCACCATATACTAGAATTTACCATCATTCCAAAACAGTTTTAGAGGCTGATAAGAGCATTGATCAAAAGGTGTTGAAGACTTTAAAATTGTTTAGACAGTTGTCACAGTCCTCAGAACGTGATTGCCTTTTGGAATAATTCATTGTAAAAATTGTGCATCTTTAGACAAATATTTGCTTCCATCTTACTTGAAACAAAACATTTGAACAGCTGCACAGGAGACCTAGAAAGATGAAAGTGTCTTGCCCAAGATAATTTGAGGGGAAGGATCAGGTTTTGTCTGCTGGCAAGTGTACATGGAAGTGTGAAGTAATTGCTACAGATTTGTTTGAACAGGGTCTTCTTCCATTTAAGGTAGATCTATGAGGTCTTTCCTCAGTAGTTGAACAAAGATACCTTCTGAAATGGACAAAAGTATGTAAGAAAAGACATACACTTTCCTGTGAAACTAAACATTCCCCCTGAAAGGCAGTCCTCCTGTAATTTCACATTGTGCCTTGATCAGTGCTGATATAGCCTGGAAGCCGCTTTTAATTGCCTAATTTATAGGCAGTTTCAGATTTATTAAATCTTGTTTGCAATTCAGGCTATTTCTTTTGAATATACAGAACTTGGCCTTGACTACAAATAAAGACATTGTAGAGATTCACCAACAGTACTTGCAGTTTGTAAATATACATCTTGATTAATGTGTATATTTTTCATTATTTAGTAGTTATACAAAGGGGGTTACAATTCCAGAAAAGTCAGGTTATGAGCATAGTGCTTCTTGGCCAATATCACCCCTTCCATCATTGTCTCTTCCCATTTCCCCCCATAACCATGAGTTACATAATCTTTAAAACATTCACTTTTCATATCAAAGTACAGCAGAAGAGGATAATATGTGTAAAGTATATTGGAATAAGTGGCTAAGGCAGCATATACTTGTAATCTTTGGGATAAGAGAGATGAGGGGTTAGTGCTACATTTGTAACTGGTTCCCAAGTACAAAGTCCACTGGTTGGAAAGCTTTGTTTAAAGTATTTCTTACTTTGAAAAAAGTCCACACAGGTCCAACTAAGAATGTTTGTTTCAATGAAGCATAGACTTGGACTTATGGGTATACAATGCTGTGTTCACTTGTTCTGGCTAGAACTTAATGTATTATCTAGGAAACTCCAGCTTAATCCTCAAATCCCTTAGTATCTGCAGAATCTTTTACTGATGTACTTTTTCCTTTAACTTTAGCTGCTACTCATTTTAGAGGTAACCGTCTTGAAATGAAATGTGATAGAATACTGTATGTAGTTCAGTATTGTAATCACACTGCACATTTAGCACATATGCATTAGCATACAATGGGACGCACCAGAGTTTGGTATTTGAAGGAGTTAAGAGGAACAGGAGGGGGCTCATTTAGGCTGCCTTAATTTTACCCTTCTTATCCCTTCTTCATCTCTATATATATTTAAACATTTATTTACATATATTTGTTGTACAAGGGACTTTCCGTATGACATTTTCATACGATTACCCTTCTGTTACTCCTTTGTCCCCTATACCCCTTTTAAAAGTGTCATTGTTATCATTATAAATTACTTCAACCATATTTAGCTTCATTGACCCTTCATTCCCCCTCTGTACCTGCTCCTCTAGCAGAGCCAGTTTTACTAACTTGTCACTTTTTAGTGTATATTAGTTAGACATGAAATTTTACAATGGTATGTATTGTGTTCTAGTCTGATTGTTCCTCACTATTGCTCTCCCCATCTTCCCTGCCGCCTATTTAAAAGCTTTCAGCTGGGCTGGGAAGGTGGCTTAGTGGTAGAGTGCTTGCTTAGCATTCATGAAGCCCTGGGTTCAGTTCCTCAGAACCACATAAAAAAAGCTGGAAGTGGTGCTGTGTGGCTCAGGCAGTAGAGCACTAGCCCTGAGCACAGAGAAGCTAAGGGATACAGTCCAGGCCCTGAGTTCAAGCCCCAGGATGGGCAAAAAAATAAAAATAAAAGCTTTCAGTGAGTTTTCTTAAGTCATGTAGACACCGTATATTTTGATGCTATTCATTCTCCCTTATTTTCTCTTCCTTTTTCTCTTATACCATCAAGCAGACTCACAGTTACAATCATATTTTCTCTATATTTATGTCTGCATATATACAAACAAGTTTCTTTTAGGTCTAGATCCCACACTGAGCAAAAACACAATACTTGGCCTTTTGGGCTTGGTTTACCTTGCTCAAATGGCTGACATTTGTATTTTCTTGGTAACTCAAGTTACCATGTTAGTAGTTCTATCATATGATGGCCCTGGTGCCTGGACTCAGAACTCTTAAGATGACTCTACTACTCAGTTGCTGCCTACATGTAGTAAGAACATAGGCTTAATATGCACTGCTTATTTTCAGTTGCTTTGGAAGAGCAGAGAAGGATTAAATTTAGGGGAGAGTATGGTGCCAGTTTGCAAAAAGTATCACTGAATCGTAGCTGCCAAACTAGGAAGGAGAGTCATTTTCCCCAGAAGGAGCAGCGAGTTTGCTGAGGTGTGAAGTGTTGGGGTAAGGCCAATGGTGAGATGTTCCTGGAACAGCAAGAGGGACTTGAGAGGAACTTAAAAAGTTATATCCTGCCCAGATTTAAAGGATCATGTTTGGTAAGCTTCAGGTTTATGCCTTTTTCCTAGAGCAAGGAGAGAGCCCCCCCCCTCCCCTGCAAAAGGAGGTTTTTATGTTTTTTGTTTTTTTGTTAGTCCTGGGGCTTGAACTCAGGGTCTGGGTGCTGTCGCTGAGCCTCTCTGTGCTCAAGGCTAGGGCTCTACCACTTGAACTAGATCTAGCACCATTTCCGGCTTTTTCTGTTCATGTGGTACTGAGGAATTGAACCCAAGGCTTCATGCATGCAAGGCAAGCACTCTTCCACTAAGCCACATTGCTAGCCCCTGATTTTTTTTTAATGGAGAAACAGCTATTACTGTGGAGAATTGAGTGGAGACCCTACATGTAAAAATCAAGTCACATTTGAGATAATAAGGAGATAGTGAGGGAAACTGGTTTTAATATAGATTTATGGTATGTGTAGTCCAGTTTGTAAGAGACTTGAGTTGCTCTATAATTCAGTCATTTGTAGACAAAATGTCAGTTTGTCTTGAAGGAATTAAAAAAGAAGTTGAAAACAATGGAAGTCCTAAAATAGTACCCATGAAAGTTCATGTTTGAGAACTTAGGCTTAGGTAGCCTATAGAACTTAGCTGGAAAAAAAATCACCCCTGTGTTCACCAGAAGGCAAATCTTCAAGTCAAGGTTCTAAATATGCACACCATCTTGAGTAGCATGAATTCTTGTGCCATCCCACACTCAGGAAGTGAATCATGCCTTTATTCAGTGTTTCCACACTGTATATGCTGGCTGTCCATTAGCACTGTCAGCTTGTTGTGGCATCAGTGCTGGTGTTTAACCCTTATTTTATCTCGTCCCTGGAACACAAGAACTGTGGTGCTGGCAAATTGGATATGTCAAAGAGACATCATGAAATGCTTCAAAGTGAAAAGGTGAAAGTTCTCAAAGGAAAAGAAAAAAATCTTATGCCGAATTTGATGAGATCTAGGGTACAAATGAATTTTTCACATGATACGAAGAAGGAGAAAGAAATCTGTGCTATCACAAATTGGAAGTTACCGTCACTTCATATGTAGAAGCTCCAAACTTTAAAGAGCTCAGTAGTATTCACAGTTTCATAAATCTACTGGGGAGCTCTTGGAATGTATTCTCCACAGTTAAGGGGAAGCTACCATATTCACAGTTGAGGTTTAGGGGTAACATTTTGGGAATCATCAGTGGGTAATGAGAAATAAAATAGTTTATATTGATACTATTTTTTTGGGGGGGGGTCCAGTCATGGGGCCTGAACTCTGGGCCTGGGCGCTGTCCCTCAGCTCTTCAGCTCAAGGCTAGCGCTCTACCACTTGAGCCACAGCGCCACTTCTGGTTTTTTTCTTTTTGCTTATGTAGTGCTGAGGAATCGAACCCAGGGCCTCATGCATGCAAAAGCAAGTGCTCTACCGCTGAGCCACCTTCCCAGCCCCTATTGATACTATTTTTGTATTTGGTACTTCGTTTTGAACTCATGGCTTTGCACTTGGTAAGTAAGTGCTCTATCATTTGAGCTTCAGCCAGCCCATTTACTTTGAGATTTTCAGATGGTGTTTTTGGTGGTGGTGATGGTGCTGATGCTTGTGCTTGTGCTTGTGGGGCTTGAACTCAGGCCTGGGCCACTATCCCTGAGCTTTTGTGGTTTAGGCTAGTGCCCTACCACTTAGAGCCACTGCTCCACTTCTGGTTTTCTGGTGGTTAATTGGAGGTAAGAGTCTCATGGACTTTCCTGCCTGGGCTGGCTCAAACTGTGATCCTCAGATCTTAGCTTCCTGTATAGCTAGGATTACAGGTGTGAACTACTAGACCCAGCTCAGGTACGGTTTTGTGCTTTTTCTTGGGTTGGTCTCAGACTTTGATCCTCCTTTTCCCTCTGGAATAGATAGGATTACAGACATAAATAACCATGCTTGGCTTTTTTTTTGGGGGGGGGAGGTAGTCATGGGGCCTGAACTCTAGGCCTGGGCACTGTCCCTCAGCTCGTCAGCTCAAGGCTAGTGCTCTACCACTTGAGCCATAGTGCCACTTTGTGGCTTTTTCTGTTTATGTGGTGCTGAGGAATCAAACCCAGGGTCTCACGCATGCAAGGCAAGCACTCTACCACTGAGCCACCTTCCCAGCACCTTGGCTTTGTTTTTAAGATGGGGTTTCCTTGACTTGTTGCCCAGGCTACCCTAGCCATATACTTCTCTACCCTGAGCAGGAGTGATTTAAGTCATGCCAGCATACCTAGCCCAGTATATTGATATGTGTGTGTGTGTGTGTGTGTGTGTGTGTGTACATGCATGGGCACATGTATGCTGATCTTGGGGCTTGAACTCAGGAACTGGGTATTGTTCCCAGCTCAAGGCTAGCAATCTTGAGCCACAGCTCCACTTCTGGCTTTTGGTGGTTAATTGGAGATAAGAGTCTCATGAACTTTCTGCCCAGGCTGGCTTCCAACTGTAATCTTCAAATCTCAGCCTCTGGAGTAGCTAGGATTACAGGCCTGAGCCACCAGTGCCTGGCATTATTCATATTCTTAAATCAATTTAGTGTTTTTAATTTCCTTGATTCATAAGCATTCTCTTACACAGAAAATACTGGTTCCCAACTATTAAGCGTTTATTTGCTTAATTTTACAATGTGAAATAAATCGATGTGATGCCAGTGCCTTACTTCACAGCCATGTGATTTTCCATAGTATGAATAGCTGGACAGAAACTTAATAATATGTTTTTATTTTTATTTATATCTAGGTTGCCTCCCCTTCTTATCTCAAACAGTACTGTTGTATTGTACTTAATTAGGACAAAGTGTGTAGTTTGTATATTTCATAGTAATTGCTTGTCTGAAAGAGTCCTTTGATTTGCCTTACACTTGACCAAAGAGTACTCTTTCACACTTGTCTAAATAATATTTTGTAGCTGTAAGACTTACATAAAATATATGGTCAGTCTAAAGTTGGGAACAACTGCTCCAAAGCAGGGTTTATTGGGAATAGCAGGGGATTGTAGTCTGGGATATGTGTGCTGTGGTGGACCACCCAAGGAGATTGAGGCAAAGGGGAAGAAGTGTCCTCCAGGCTGATTTGAAACAAAATCCATTGCTTACTGGGCTTGTTGCAGGAATTGGCTCATGGTGGAGACGGCTGTGTCCTCTGCAAGTGACTGTCTGATACATTAGTTCTCCTTTATCTTACCTTGATATACTATATTAGTCCCTTATATTACCTTATACTAATGAGATGACTTCAGATGGTCGGTTCCCTAAATAGCAGGAAGGGTTGTTCACCTCATGATCAGAGGTTTGAAAATTTCAGCCCAGTTTAAAGACCAGTAAGAAAGAAAAGAGAGCTAAGCCAAGCTAATCCTAGCAAGAGCTAGAGACCAACCTGTATAAGAAAAGAACTGGGAATGTAACGTAGTGATAGTGCTTGCCTAGCACATACAAGCCGCTGGGTCCATCTCCACCACTACAAACAGCAACAGTAGTGTAACCTGCTGAGCAACAATAGTTGATGAACCAGACGCTGCTGTGAGGATTGCTTGCCTGGGAGGGGAACTCTTCTCCCGTATCCCTATGATATCTCTTTTTCTGGCTGTTTATTTGTATCCTTTGTATTACTCTTGTATAATAAACTAGTGAACTTGTAAAATGTTTCTCTTGAAGCATTTTAGTTGGACCAAAGGAGGGAATAAAGGGAATCCCATTCATAACTGGACGTTGGTCAGTAGTTTTAAGTGACAGCCTTCTATTTGTGATTGGTATCTGAATTTGGGTCTGTATTGTGGGACTAAGACCTTAAACTGAAGAATCTGTAACTCCAGGTAGGCAGTGCCAGAATTGGACTGAATTACTGGACAAATTGCTTGTTGTGTGGGGGAGAAACCTTCACATGCCAGGTTGTAGAAGTGTTAAGTGTAAGAGTAGAGAAGACAAAAGGATACGTTTTTTCTTTATGATGGGCCTGTTCTTTTGCTTAAAGAGGCAGGGAGAGGTCACTGTGCATGCTTTCTTGGGTAGATATCAGTTATCATTGTGGATTTTAGCTTTGGTGTTTACAATTTTGTAGTTTGAAATCTTTTTTTTATCATGGGAGAACCCAGACATTTGTTGTTTTCCAGATTGTGGTTGAGTTTAAGTTTCATTCTTGGCACAAAAAGTAGACTAGAAGCTGTCACCTCCTTTCATTAAGTCTGATTTCAGTAACTCTGCTTCCCTTGTAACTAGAGGAGGTTAAAATATAGGGCACTTAGGGCTTCACTTAGGGAGCTCCTAATGTGAGTATAGCTTTCTACCCTTGGTTGTTATGAGCATCTTCATTCTGGTCTGCTTCCTTTATTTTTCTTGTCTTTTTTTCATCAGATTCTGATGAAAATCCTGTCTGCAATCCCCTCACTACACCATAGACAGACCACACACACACACACACACACACACACACTCTCTCTCTCTCTCTCTCTCCCTCCCTCCCCCCCTTTTTCTCCCTCTCCCTCCCCCTCTCTTGCCCACACACACACACACAGACTCTTCTGGAGTTGAGAGTAGATTCCTGAATGTTCATCCCCTATTGCCTTTTCTCCACTAATGATATTCAGTCTGACTACCCTTAATTTCAGTGCTTCAGGATAGTTTTTATTTAACTCAATTGTGTTTAGGTTTGTGTTTTTGTTTCACACCCCTGACTTTCCTAGGATGGTCATGAAAGCCTATATTTCTAATTTCTGTTATAAGTGCAAACATGTAGGTTTAATATATCATTTCCTAGCTTAACAGGGTACTGTTGGCCAAGTATAAGACAAACTGAACATCCCACGAATGATCACAGTTGAACTAAAATAAACTCGACTTTTTCCAAGGAACTCTTGAGTTTCTTATTTTGTGGGAAGTAGTATTTAGAAATTATAAATAAACACCAGCTTTAAAAAGATGTTACCTTTTATTTATTGATTCTTCAGAATACTTACTGGGTTCTTTTCTTCATCTCACAGGCATGCCCAAAGAAAAATACGAGCCACCTGACCCTCGGAGGATGTACACAATTATGTCCTCCGAGGAAGCAGCAAATGGAAAGAAATCACATTGGGCAGAGCTTGAAATAAGTGGTAAGACATGCAAGCATGAATTTATGGTATGGGACTGAAAGCTGTGGTAGGAAAATAAGTTTTCCTGTGGCAATACGTGAAAGAAATTGATCGTATTTCACAAGTGCTCATTTTCCTTAAAGACAGGAAGGCTTGGTGGAAAGAACATGGTTTTGAGTCAAAATTCAAAACCCATTCTTTGTTTTTTCCCTTAGTATCAGTGTCCATTTATAAAATGGGAAAAATAATGCCAGAGATGAAGTGAAAATTACCCATTCTTTGATTAAATAAAATTATGCTTCTGCATTTTCAAATATTAAGACTTCCAGTGGGGCAAGAAGTGACTTTTCTGTATGTTTGAGGATAGATTCTTTTTTCTTATTCATTTCCTTTTTAGTCTGCACCTCTGAGGACATTAGTAATTCAGAAATTAAATCTTGAGAACTTTAAACAGATCTCAAATTCTCTTCTATCTTGAATACAGTTTAGATGTACCAAATAAATATATGAACTCTGCCAGGTGCCGGTGGCTCATGCCTGTAATCCTAGCTACTCAGGAGGCTGAGATCTGAGGGTCATGGTTCAAAGTCAGCCCGGGCAGGAAAGTCCATGAGACTCCTTATCTCCCCAATTAACCACCAGAAAACCGGAAGTGGCCCTGTGGCTCAAATGGTAGAGCACTCACCTTGAGCTGAAGACCTCAGAGACAGTGCCCAAGCTCAGAGTTTAAGCCCACAACCGCCACCCCCCCACCCCTCACCCCCCAAAAAATGAACTCCTAGACTTACTAGGAATATTCTTGCTCAGCAAGCAGCCCTGCTAGTAGGAATGCAATCTAAAATGTTCTAGAGTTGGTGAAGAGTCATTTTTACTTCTCACGGCAACCAGTGCTGAAGAAATTTCTTGTCAGTGTTGGCTTATTATGCGTCCACCTTCCTTCTTTCTGTTTGTCCTAATTCTTGACTTCTGAAAAGTACAAAACAAATACTGTCCTTTCACCTATCCCTAGGTAAACATAAATGCCCTTCTCTGCGGCTATGGTAGAGATTACTAGTCATAGGAGTGTCTCCTTTTCCCTCTTGATTTCTAGAGTGCTTGCACTTTTGTTTTTAAAGATAGAATCTCATGCTGACGCTGGAGCCAGCCTCAAGGTCTGAGTATCTCTTTACTCTGGCTGGCCTTGTTCTTCCATCCTCATCTCTGCCTTTGGAATAGCTGGGATGTCATTTTATCTTTTAGTATTTTACAAAGGGGTTTGATTTTGAGTGTTGTTATAGGATGCAGTTAAGTTACTGGAAAACATTTTCATTCTTTTGAGGCTTGATCTTAACTTCCCTTAGACTAGAGCAGCCATAAGTCAAGGATTAATTTGTACTACTAAAAAGACCCAGTGCCTTATGAGTTAAAAGGTATTTATTTCATCTAAATTAGAAGTAAGTCTTAAAGTAGCTTTCGAGCCACTAGATGATAATCAGTTCTTAAAAGTTGCTTTTTCTATTACATGTGCTTGCTCATTTTTCTTTCAGATTAGATCCTGAACCATTAAGGCGATTACAGAAAAAGTTTACATTGTTGAAACTATTGACTTCTTAATCAAGAAATGACAAAGTACAAATTTATTATTGCATTCAAAGATACTGTCATGTTATTCTACCTGAATTCTGTCTCTTCTTTTACTTGATTATATAGTTATAATTTGATATCAAATATTTCTGGACAGTACAGATTTTGCTTACATGATTCTTTTTTTAATTATTGGTAGTTTTATTATTTGTAGTGTGCAAAGGAGTTGCCATTCACCCAGTTTATTAATACTGTGCATCTTGATCAGTATCAACCATTTCTTCATTCTCATCCAGCCCCATTTCTTTCCTCAGTTGTCTTAATTTTGTAGGATATGAATTGAATTTCATGACTGTATTCTTCCCACCCCCTTCCCCTCTTACACAATTCTTGGTCATGGATACTTGGGTACTCTAATCTTAAAACTCACCTGAGAATACCTTGTTTCCCTTTTCATTTTTAGTCAGAATTCTTTTTTCTTTTTAACATCAAAGTATAGGTAAAAACAGCCTCTGAGACACTGTAATTTTATTTTGTTTCACATGAATTTAAATCAGTCATATTTAAATATTAGATGGATCATTAGTAGAAATTATTCATATTCTGTTTGTATGATAAATTGAGGTCATTTTAAAGGATACATTCTTTGTGCTTGTAAAAATACAGTCTTTGAAGTGTTGTTATGCTTTAAATTTTTGTTTCAATCTGCTAAGTAGAGTTGTTCTAGAACAGTTTAGATTCCTCTGTTAACCTTTCTTATACTTCTGGTTATGTTACTAATCATGACATCTAAATCTTAATTCACAGACCAAATTATCATAGAGACCACTATATAATCCTTTTTTTTTTTTCCATTACAGGAAATGTAAGAAGCTTAAGCTCATCTTTGTGGTCACTGACTCACTTGACAGCTTTGCATCTGAGTGACAATTCCCTGTCCCGCATTCCTTCAGACATTGCCAAGCTTCACAATCTGGTGTATCTGGACCTGTCTTGTAATCAAATCCGTAGTTTACCGGCAGAACTCGGAAACATGGTATCACTCAGGTATGCAGATTCAGTTATTATATACGAATTATATGCCCTTAAAAGAAAAGAAAGTATATCATTAGCTTTATTAGGAAAAAAGACTCTTTTTGATGATATTTGAAGGAAAGGAAACATAGCTATATATTTTATTGAAAGGTTTGTGTTGAATGTTGACTAATAATTAAATCCATTACATGAAAATTTGTGGACAAAGTTGGGGAAAACAACTGTCAGGCACTAGTGTTATGCCTTATGCTCACCTGTGACAGACAGTTGGAGTATCATACATTCTTTTCTTTTTGTTGTTGTTGGTAGTCATGGGGCTTGAACTCAGAGCCTGGGTGCTATCTATGAGCTCTTTTTTTTTTTTTTTTTCTTTCTCTTTACCACTTTGAGCTGCAGCACCACTTCTGGTTTTCCTGGTGGTTAACTGGAAGTAAGACTCTTAGACTTTCCTGCCTGGGCTGGCTTTGAACTAGGATCCTCAGTGAGATCCTCAGATCTCAGTATCTTGAGTACCTGGGATTTCAGGGTGAGCCACCCATATCTGGCTCCATACATTCTTAACAGTGGGGCCAGGAAGCCCTTGTCAGTTGGAGGGATCTTTCTACTATCCTAGAGCTTGTATGGGTAATTTTTTAACATAAATAAAGCTAGAATTAGTTCTTAAATTTGGAGACCTGTAGTATGGTACAAGGAATTAGGCACACAGAGTTTGGATTAGAATCTTGATTTTTCTTGTCTATAAGTTCTGTGACATTAAGGAAGCCTCTTAGTTAGAAGTTAGGGATATCTGAGATGAAAAAAAGCTACTTGTATCCTGCCTGGAATATAAGGTATTTTAACAAGTATTACATTTTTATCATGGTAATTAGATCTGCTCGAGTTAAATATAAAGACAAATTCCAACTGTTAGGTTACTCTAATTCACCCTCCCCCCACCCCCCCACACACATTTATCTATTTGTAAAGACAATGTACAGAGGGGTTACAGTTACATGAGTAAGATAATGAGTACATTTCCTATTGAGCATTGTTACCCCCAGGCCTTTGTTTTTCCCCAACCATCCCAGTCCCCCACCCCCTTAAAACTTCCTAGCTGAAGTTGTAAAGATCGTTTTTAACAGAATGTCTTGTACATCTCATTGTTACAATGGGTCAACCTGTACCCCTATTTAAGCATTTTGTTTTTTTCTTCCCCTCCCCAAATTAGAAAACTATATATACAAGTTGCAGGGCACCAGAATCAAATACAGTGAAAACAGGAGTTATACTGTACCACTTTTTTATTGTGGTTCTCTGGCTTTTCTGCTGCCTTCTAGTAAAACAGGAATAAAAGGATCTTGTGGAAGTTCCTTTGCCTCTATTACTCCAGATCTAGCCGTTTGACATTTTTCTGGGCTTAATTCATGAATATGAATCTATGTCAGTCCTAGGGCTTAAACTCAGGAACTGGGCTCTGTCCCTGAGCTCTTTCACTCAGGCTAGCTCTCTACCACTTTGAGCCACAGCATCATTTTGGTTTTTGAGTGGTTAATTGGAGATAAGTCTTATAGGGACTTTTCTGCTTGGGCTGGCTTTGAACCATGATCCTCATGTCTCAGCCTTCTGTATAGCTAGGATTATAGGTGTGAGCCATCCAAGCCTATCTGAGTATGACCATTTTTTATGAAACAAATTAACTTACTGGGTTTTTTCTATATAATGTATTTGAAATAAACAGGAATCACTTGCTCGGAAGTACTTTCTCGATTCAGTTTATGGCATCAGGGACTTAAAGTTACTAAGAAGAAAGCAAGGTCCATTTAAATTTCAAGAAAACAGATTATAGAAATAGTTCTCTTAAAGGTTTGATAATGTTTGATAAATAACAGTACAGGGTCGGGGCTGGGAAGGTGGCTCAGTGGTAGAGCGTTTGCCTTGCATGCTCAAGGCCCTGGGTTCGATTCCTCAGCACCACATAAGCAAACAGAAAAAAGCCGGAAGTGGCGCTGTGGCTCAAGTGGTAGAGCGCTAGCCTTGAGCTGTAGAGCTGAGAGACAGTGCCCAGGCCCAGAGTTCAGGCCCCACAACCGGACCCAAAAAAAAAAAAAAGAAAAAAAAAAGAACAATACAGGGTGCTGGTGGCTCAGGCCTATAATCCTAGCTATTCAGGAAGCTGAGGTCTGAGGATCCACAGTTCAAAGCCAGATTGAACAGAAAAGTTATTAGTAGTTAACACAGCTGCTGTTATTTCTGAATGAAATATAAGTCTAGAAAAGTTTATTACACTTCATTGGTCATTCTAGTTCTCTTCTAACAATTCATGGTAGGTTGTTTTATCATATTTTTTTTTTGCTGCTGTTGTTGGTCGTGGGTCCTGAACTCTGGGCACTGTCCCTCAGCTCTTCAGCTCAAGGCTAGCGCTTTACCGCTTGAGCCACAGTGCACTTGTGGCTTTTTCTGCTTATGTGGTACTGAGGAATTGAACCCAGGGCCTCATGCGTGCAAGGCAAGCGCTCTACTACCGAGCCATCTTCCCAGCCCAATTTTCTTAAACTTATATAGTTGACTACACATAGACTAGACCAGTGTTCCTTGCTGTGGTCTTGTACCAGTTTACAAAACTATTCTGTAGTGGGATAAATAATATGTGAAACAGTTTTTTTTGGTTTTTGTTTTGTCTGAGACTAGGACTGAAACTCACTATCTGATGCTTTATGCCCTTTGGCAGGTACCCTACCACTCAAGTTATACTTCCAACCCCAACAATTTTTAAAAGTAGGAGCTTGTGCCAGGCACTGGTGGCCTCACAGACCTGTAGTCCTAGCTCGTCAGGGCTGAGATCTGAGGGTCACAGTTCAAAGCCAGTCTGGGCAGGGAACTTTGTGAGACTCTGAATCTCCAGTTAACCACCAGAAAAGCTGGAAGTAGAGCTCTGGCTCAAGTAGTAGATCGTTAGCCTTGAGCACAAAAGATGAAGGACAGCACCCAGACCCTCAGTTCAAGCCCCAGGACTGGTAATAAAAATAAAAAAATAGGAGCTTGTGTTTTGTTTATGTAATTTTTCCCTGTATTTTACAAAGATTGGTGCTTGGCAGTTCTTCTTTTTATTATTAAATATAGATAAACACAAGACTAGATATTGTAATATAAAATGTTGCAGTTCTTAGGTACTTATTTTCCTAATATATGTTGATTTTAAGTGTTAAGGTTAATATGCCTCTGACTTCTGTAATTTTTCTCTCAACAGGGAGCTCCGTTTAAATGACAACCAGTTACGAGTTCTACCTTTTGAGCTGGGAAAACTGTTTCAGTTGCAAACACTAGGCCTGACAGGTACAACTTCTGTTTTTATGTTTCTTACAGTTTTATATGTTTTTGCATCTAAAGAGATAAGAGAATACTTTCATCAGGGAATTTTTTTTTTTTGCTGGCTCTCTTTTTTTCAGGCCTCATGAGTTTCTTAGATACATCCCAAAGTGTTTCTCATTTGATGGTTAAGATACAGACTATCTACTAGTGTTAGTTTTTTCTTTTTCTTTTTGTTCCTAGCCTAAGATTGCTTTTTTGGGGGGAGGGGGGTTGGTTTGGGGCTTGAACACAGCCTGGACTGTCCCTGAGCTCCTTTTGCTGAAGGTTAGCACCACTTGAGTCATGGAGCCACTTCTGGCCTTTTCTGCTTATGTGGTTGATGCTGAGAAATCGAACCCAGGGCTTTGTGCATGCTAGGCAAGCACTCTACCACTAAGCCACATTCCTAGCCCCCACTTTTAAACTTTTTATTTTGGGATTTACCTGCACTTGTGACCAGTAGTACAAAATGATCTTTGCGCTCATTATACAGTTTCGCGTAATGGCCACATCTTTTAAACTGTAGTGCATTATCACAAGCAGAAAATACAGTGGTACATTTTATCAAGTAAACCAGGCACAGGGAAAAATACAGTCTCACTGATACATTAATATAGACACATCAGATTTATTGAAGAGTATAATGGTGGCTACCAGACACTATAGGTGGGGGTGCTGCATTTAAGTTGGAGGACTAGGTATTTGTAGTGGGTCTGTTAAATAGCCTGATTGGATCATACCACAATGATACTATTGATACACCAACCTAGCTAGACAACACTTAAAGAATTAGAGTTAAAAACAAAAGCAGGGCTGGGAAGGTGGCTTAGTAGTAGAGCGCTTGCCATGCATGAGGCTCTGGGTTCGATTCCTCAACACCACATAAGCGAAAAGAAAAAAGCCGGAAGTGGCACTGTGGCTCAAGTGGTAGAGTGCTAGCCTTGAGCTGAAGAACTGAGGGACAGCACCCAGGCTGAGTTTAGGCCCCACGACCAGACACCCCCCCCAAAAAAAAAAAGCAAAAAAGCACAAAGGAGCATGCAAGAAATCCAGCATCTATAAATCATGACCATACAAAAAGTAGTGCTAGCTAAAGGCATAGGAAAGTTCATAAAATGAAACATATTGTACCCCATATTTAGATATAATTGTCACATAACATTTCCATCATCAAAGGATCCCTCATGTTGCTTTGGTACAGTGTTGAGACTTTGTTTCTTCCTCAGCTCCCCCTTCTGACAGCTGCTGATTTATTCTCTTCATACATAATTTTGCAAATGGAATCCTATTGTGTGTTACCTTTTGAGGTGACTTAAAATTTAATGTAAATTTATTTTGAATTAGCATATATTAATACGAGATTTCATTGTGATAGTTTCCTATAAGCATCCAGTGAACTTAGGAAAGTTCACCTTCCATTTCATTTCCATTATTCTTCCCTCTCTTTTTCATTATACTGTTTGCATATTTGTGTATGCATGTATATGTAGGTATGTATATAATTTGATCTTTTACCATGTTTAGATAGATACCTTTTTCTGTTGAATAGCTGGTAAAGATTTTCTCTTATTTTGTGTGTGGTTTTTGCTTCTGGTAATGGTTTCTTTTGCTATCCAAAAGATTACCTACCTATTGGTGAGATTAAGGTATTGAAGTCTCTCATTATTGTTAAGGGCTGTCTGTATTTTTGAGTGTAGTAGTGTTTATTTAATGAAGTTGGATGTAGTAATACTACACATGTACTTAGCAGTTCTTATTTCCTCTGGATAGATCCTTCCATTTATCAGTATAATGTGAACTTCTTTTGTCTCCTCAACTATTTTGGGTTTAAAGTCTATTTTGTCAGATACAAGTGCAGGTGCTCGTGCCTGTTTTAAGGGTCTATCCACTTAAAAAATATTTTCCCAGACTTTCAGCCTAAGATAGTATTTGTTTTTGTGAGATCCATTTTTTATATTCAACAGATGGTCCAGCCTTGGTTTTTACTCCAGTTTACCATTTTGTAGTTTGGATGGAGAATTGAGAAAATTAATTGATTGGTTAATATGAGAAGTATGTTGTAATTCTTGCCATTTCCTTGTTACTTTAGTGATTGATTCTTTTCTGCTCTTTGTTTTCTTAAGTGAGAAGTATTTTGTCTTATATGTTTGGGTTTAGGTTAATACTCTTCTGTGTGCAGACTTAGCTTCCTTTGATTATCTTCTGCAGTGCTGGTCATAATTGCTTTAGCTTTTATCATGGAAGGTTTTTATTTCTCATTGAATTAATGAAAGAGAGTTGAGTAATCTAGGTTGGCAGTTATTTTCTTTCAGCACTTAAAATATATCATTTCAGGCTTTCGTTGCTCTAATGTTTCTGTTGAGAAATCTGCTGTTCTCATGGCCTTCCCTTTTTAGATTACTTGACCCTTCTTGAAGCTTTCATTGTTTTTCTTCTTGTCTGTACTTAGTATTTTAACTATAATACGCCATGTAATGTTTCTATTCTGGTCCTACTTGGAGTCCTAAAGACCTCCTGTACTTGAATGGGCATCTCTTTCTTAAGATGTGGGAAATTTTCTGCTGTTAGTTTATTGAATATCTTCCCTATGCCTTTAGCTAGCACCACTTTTTGTAAACTTGTGATTTATAGATTTGCCTTTTAAAGGAGTCATAGAGTTCTTGCATGTTCCTTTGTGCTTTTTTTGTTTTTGTTTTTTAACTGATTAATTCTTTAAGTGTTGTCTAGCTAGGTTGGTGTGTGTATCAATAGTTCATTTATACTGATGATTAGTGTTTCATGGTGTAACAGTCTCATGTTTTGTTTAACCATTCACCTTTGGAATAAAATCTGGGTTGCTTCCAGTTTGTGGATATTACAAGTTAAGCTGCTAAACATCCTGTGTACTGAACATTGCATGAACATGAGTCATTGTTTTTCCAGAATAAGTGCCACTGCTTAGGGGCTTGCACTTAGTAGGCAGTTGTTCTACCACTGAGCCATGTCCCCTAACCTTTATTGATTTGATTAGTTTTTTAATAAGGCCTCATTTTTACCCACGTCCACCTGGATTGTCATCTTCCTACTTAGAAATAGCTGAGATGATAGGTTAAGTAAGATAGGAGCTCATAAACTTTGTTTGGGCTGGCCTTGACCTTCAGTCCTAATGATCTCTGCCTCCTTAGTAGCTAAAATTACAAGTATGAGCCACCTTATCTAGTTCATTCTGCTTTTTTAGTCTTGCCTTTCATAAGAGAATGAAAAAAGCATCATTCTTAGTTATCTTTTCATTTTTCTTTGGTTAGTATAATTAAGACCTTTAACATTTTACCTACCTATAGATTTTTTTTTTTTTTGGTGGGGGTTAGGGGTCATGGGGCTTGAAATCTGGGCCTGGGCACTGTCGCTCGCTCAGCTCTTCCGTTCAAGGCTAGCACTACCACTTGAGGCACAGCGCCAGTTCCGGTTTTCTGGGAGTTAATTGGTGATAAGAGTCTCACAGACTTTCCTTTTGGGGCTGGCTTTGAACCATGATCCTCAGATCTCAGCCTCCTAAGTAGGTAGGATGATAGGCATGAGCCACCTGCACTTGGCTAGGTTTTTATCTACTTTTTTTTTTAAGTGGAACTGGGCGTCCAGAATAACATACATCATTTGTATAGCATGAACATCAACTTGACTGGTTGAACACTGCATTGTACTGTTATTCCTCATTTGTACATAAAGCATCTTCCTGGTTTTTGAGATTCTTGAAAATTCATGTAAGTTACTATATTTGCTTTTGTTTTTAGCACTCATAAAACAGTTGTTGAATTTATAAAAATGGCCCATTTTCCTCTTCCTTACTCAATTAAATCAAATCTGCTATCTTGTTAGGTCTGTTAGTTTAAAAAAAAATCTAAGTGAGCTGGTTACTGGTTGTTCACTCCTATAAGCCTAGCTACTCAGGAGGTGATATCTGAAGACTGTGGTTAAAAGTCATTCCAGGGGGTTGGGGGTTTAGCCCAGTGGAAGGGCGCCCACCTGGCGTGCACAAGGCCCTGGGTTCGGTCCTCAGCCCTGGGAGGAAAAAAAAAAGTTATTCCAGGCCGGAAAGTCTGTGAGATGCTTATCTACAATTCATCACCAAAAGGCTTGAAGTGGAGCTGTGGTTCAAGTGGTAGAGAGCTAGTCTTAAGCAAAAAAGCTCAGGGACAGCACCCTGGCCCTGAGTTCAATCGCAGGTGCGCGCACACATGCACACATACACACACAATCTGGGTGCATAACTTAGAATTTTGTCATTGTAATGTTTTTCTGTAAGCTTTATGGAATTGTTGAATCTTGCTTCATACCTTTCATTGTATTGATTGCTGTCTTTCCCTCCTTTAATTCCTCTTCCCAACCTTCTGTTCTCAATTTAGTTTCATTCAAGTTTGATCTTTCTTTCTTTTTCTTATTGTGAAAATACTGTACAGAGGAGTTGCAATTACATGGGCAAGATAATGAGTACATTTCTTATCAAGCATTGTAGCCTCCTTCTTTGTTTCCCCTTCCCATCCCTTCCTATCCTTCCCCCCCCCACCCACCCAATCCTCCCTTCACGGGCCCTCACCCCCCCACCCCACCCCCCTGGCTCAAGTTTGATCTTTCTAAGCATTTGTTACTGAAAGTTTTGGTGAGGCAAGGTTATATATAATGCACTATTAGAATGTATTTAGATTGACAAAATCCTTTAATAATTAGTGAGTACTTCTAGAGAACATGGTATTTTCTTTTTTATTAATACTGTCTTTTTATTAATACTGTCTTTAAGTAGTTGTACAACAGGTTTTAATACAGTATTTTCTTTATAAAGTGGGTTACATCTTAACATGTCCATGTCTGTGTATCCAGTTCTTTTTTCTTTTTCTTTTTTTTTTTTTCCGGTCTTGGGGCCTGAACTCTGGGCCTGGGCGCTGTCCCTCAGCTCTTCAGCTCAAGGCTGGCGCTCTACCACTTGGGCCACAGCACCACTTCCAGCTTTTTTCTTTTTGCTTATGTGGTGCTGAGGAATCGAACCCAGCCTCATGCATGCAAGGCAAGCGCTCTACCACTGAGCCACCTTCCCAGTCCCTTTGTATCCAGTTCTTGATTTGAGTCACTCCTTCTGTCATCCTCTTCCTCCTGTGGTATAAATTTTAATTTTCTATATAAAAACTGAGAAATGAAAATTTTCTGTAGTTTATACATTTTTGGTGAGTGTAATAGCTTTATAGATAATCTGATAACTTTGTTATATTTTTCAATTTTTAAGTGCTTTTGTACTGATCTTGATTTATCTATTTAAAAAATATTTGTAGGAAATCCACTTACCCAGGATATATTGAACCTCTATCAGGAACCAGATGGAACAAGAAGGCTACTGAATTACTTGCTTGATAATTTGTCAGGTACTGCAAAAAGAAGTAAGTGTTTGTTTGTTTAAATCTTTTAATTAGGAAGACATGAAAGAACATTGCTTAATTATATGTTTTCTATTTTCAACCAGTTTCAACAGAACAACCACCTCCAAGATCTTGGATTATGTTACAAGAACCAGACAGAACAAGGCCAACTGGTTGGTAGTCTTATATTTAACTCTTTATTTTTACCTGTTTATTTTAAGCCTAATAGTATTGTTGGCATATTTCATTCCGATTATTAGTAATGTTAAGGTAGAATGCTTGATTTTGTTAGGTAATAAGACTAGAATTATCCTTTAAAGCCAGCCCAGGCAGATAAATATATGCAACTCATCTCCAGTTAACCACCAAAAAGATGGAATTGGTAGCGCACCATCTGAGCAAAAAAGCCAAAGGAAAACATGAGGCCATGAGTTCAAGCTCCCAACACTGGCACCAAAGGGGGAAAAAAAAAAGGAGTTAGTTCTTGCTTTCTTGATCTGTATACTCTCTGTTATATAAAGTCATGTGCTCTGTCATGTGCTAGTAGTGTTTCTTAAACTGGAGCAGTTTTCTTTTCCATAGGACATTTAGCAATGTCTGGAGACACTTGATTGTGCTCCTGGCCTGAGTAGAGTTCAGGTACAGTGTTACTAATCCTCCAGAGCACAGCCTTACACTAACAGAGACTACTCACCTGAAATTCAGCTGTCATATACTAAGACATTTCTGTTTTGGAAATTTCCATGTCCTAATATGTTCCAAGTCTATTTTCTATTATAAAATTATAATATAGCTAGAGACAAAATTGAATTAATGATCTATATAATCTCCTTTTAATCTGAATTTTAGAAAAGACAGCATTAGAGTTCCTGTGTCACATGTAACCAAAATTGGTCTGTGACACTTCTTTCTTCTGCATGAATTAGCAATACAGTCATACCCCATTTCATTGACCTGGCCTGGCTGTGCTTTATATAAATACTGTTAACTTTTTTGTTTTTTTTACAATGGAAGGTTTGTGGCACTTGTGTCAAGTCAGTCTGATTTCTATAGATAATTCTTTGAATTTTTCTAGCAATAGACTTTCATAATAGAGTACTTTAAAAAAGACAGTGCAGTTACACACTTAATAGACTATAGAATATAGATTATATTCACACAGACACACACACACACACACACACACACACACTGAGAAGCCAAAAAACTAGTTTATTATGATAGTATTGGGCTAAACTTTATTATCTTCCAAGTTACACCTATAGTGGCTCTGTAGAAGAACCACTGTCAAGTTTCCGTATCTTATATTAATAACTGGTGGCATAATAGAAGACATACAGATTTCAGAAGTCTTGGACTTAGGGGTTGAAAGACTCAAGGTCTTATTCTGTTTGCTTCTAAACTTCATATGCATACTTGTGCAGCAGGCAACAAGTACATTATCTTCTAACTTGTCCTCATGTGTCTTTTCATTGTCCATCTTGCTTTATTTCTTCCATGTCTAGGTTTTCAGTGAGTATAGGTTGAGTGGTTAAAGTCAGACTTAAACATTTAAGTTGTAATTATTGCTGGAATTAATTATTGGCTTTTATTTACTTATTTTTTTACCAAGTGTGTGAATAAGTAAAGTTATCTTTCCTACAGCCTTGTTTTCTGTCATGTGCTATAATGTTCTTTGTGATAAATATGCGACCCGGCAGTTATACGGCTACTGTCCATCATGGGCACTAAATTGGGACTACAGGAAAAAGGCCATTATTCAAGAAATCTTCAGCTGCAATGCTGATATTATAAGTCTTCAGGTAAGTCATAGAGAAGAATGTTTAAATTTCACAAATCTCCCAGCATTGATAAAGCAAGGTGCAGTTACACTGGAATATATTACACAGACACATTTTAAGTCTTACTTTCAGCAGTTTTCAAAATATTGGGTTTTCCCGCAAACACCCTGTTCATTTTGTAGTATTGTGCTGCCAAATACAAACAGATAAATATTCACCTTCCCCAAATATCCCTGGTCACTATTTTTTAATTGAGCAACAACAAAGTTAGTGAAATTATGTCCATTTCCTAGGAGAAATTTTGCTTGACTAGCAATATTACTAATTAGGACATAGTGGGAAAAGTATTGGCCCTTATCAGTAACTGGCTTCTGGGTCCAGCTCCCATATCTTAAATAATCTTGGTCAAGTTACTTTTTCCTCTGATCCATAGTGTGTAATAAGCTCCTTCCTTATGTGTGATTCTTTTTCCAACATGTCTAGTGGTATAAGTCTGTGCATAGAAGTCTGTGTCTTCATTTATTATACTACATGACTAAAAACTGATGTTGGCAGCTGGTGTCAATAAGTTGTTCCAATTTATTTTAGATAAGTTAAATGGAAAATATGTTAAACATCCTTTAATCTGTGTGCTGTTCTTTGAAAAAGGTGATTTCAGGCTTTCAAACTGAAACTATAGGGTTAACGCGTAGGAAAATTGAGTGAACATAACAGAATTAATGTGTAACACTCATAAATTCTATTTTGTGAAGTTATTTGCTGTTTATAATTTTTCAGGAGGTTGAAACGGAACAGTATTATAATTTTTTCCTGGTAGAACTGAAAGAACGTGGCTATAATGGGTTCTTTAGTCCTAAATCACGAGCTAGGACAATGTCAGAACAAGAAAGAAAACATGTTGATGGCTGTGCAATATTCTTCAAGACAGAAAAGTAAGCGTACCTTGTTTTTTAAAAAGGAAAATGTTCTCATCATTTACATGGTGGGGGAGAGGCGAAGGGTGTGGAAATTAGCAAATAAGAGAACGACGTGCTTAGTATTATTAAGATATAGTACTATTGGCATAAGGAGTTATTGCTTTTAATGATCAGAAATAACCTTGTTTTGGAGACAAGCTTTAAATGCTGTTGTTTCTTCAGGTGTTTATTAGGTCTTTAACTCCAAATGTTAATTGAAATACAATGTAGTTAACATTCCTGCTGCAACAGTAGAAGGATTCTTAAATCTGTACTTTGGGAAGAAAAAAAAAAGATTTAAAAATCTCAAGCAGAGATAATCCAATGTGAAATCTAAACAGGATAACTGACTATACTGTATGAAATTGTAAAGGTTTTCCAAGGTCTTATTTGTATCAGTAATAGAGTGAAAAAACTTGAAGTGAATGTGTGGGAAGCTTACTGCTAACTGTGAAAGTTTTCCATAGTAAGATTTAATGCCATTTATTTATGTCAGGGAATTTGGGGAGAAAAATATTTCCTATAAAGCTAATATCTTGATATTCTCAATTCTTTGTGTGTATGTTTGTGTTTGTGTTTGTTTTAGATTTACTTTGGTTCAGAAACACACTGTTGAATTTAATCAGCTAGCAATGGCAAATTCAGAAGGGTCTGAAGCTATGCTGAATAGAGTCATGACAAAAGATAACATTGGAGTTGCAATATTGCTAGAACTTCGAAAGGAGTTGATTGAAATGTCATGTGAGTGATCCTTTCACCTCTGTAAAGTTGACCTTCTAAATTTAATAGTTCTGCTTAGACATCTTAAAAAACAGTAATTTCATTACTTAATGGTCTTGGCTTAACACCTGAAGAAACTCAGAATTTCTTTTCCCAAAAACTATCTCTTTCTCTATCACAAAGACGAGAAATTGTTCCCCAGAAAAGTGTTAAACCTCTTGAAAAATATTTTTGTTCTCTGGAATTCATCATATTAAAAAAATGGTGAAGTCAATATTAATTAAAATAACTGCTTAGGAATAGATTTACCATACACTTCCATGATTTCTTGCCAACAAGGATAGTTTCTCTAAGCTTCATTTCTCTTGATATACTTTAATAATTGCTTTTAATCCAATAGAAAGTATGTTTAGAGTGACTTTCATGTTGAAAATGGAAAGTCTGTCACTTGAACAGTTGGATCTGGGGACACTACAGAAGGACATCTAAAAAGCCTTGTTTCACACATATACATTGGGCTGTGTAAAGCAGTGAATATCCCATTGCTGAGAAATGCCAACCAGAAGTTTAGATATTCATTTTTTCTCAAGTTTGTTGTACATCAAATTCAGTGATTTTGTGGGATATGATTAGGGCAATTTTAGGGCCCTTTTTTATTCTTAGACTAAAATAGGACTTGCTTTCAGACTGTAAGAATCTGTGGGCTCACGGGCGAGTTTTACTTGTTTTCTCTAATATAGCTGGCAAACCACATCTTGGAACAGAAAAACAACTTATTCTTGTGGCTAATGCTCATATGCATTGGGACCCTGAATACTCTGATGTGAAGTTGGTACAAACTATGATGTTCCTCTCAGAAGTGAAGAACATTATTGATAAAGCCTCGCGAAGCCTCAAATCCAGTGTGTTGGGAGAATTTGGAACCATTCCACTTGTCTTATGTGCAGATCTGAATTCTTTGCCAGATTCTGGTAAGAAAGATTATATAGAATCAGCCTCCCCCCCCCTTTTTTTTTTTTGTCAGTCATGGGACTTGAACCTCTTCAGCTCAAGGGGAGCGCTCTACCGCTTGAGCCACACCGCCACTTCCGGTTTTCTAGTGGTTCATTGGAGATAAGAGTCTCTCGGACTTTTCTGCCCAGGCTGGCTTTGAACCGTGATTCTCAGATCTCATCCTCCTGAGTAGCTAGGATTACAGGCATGAGGCACCGGCACCCGGCAGAATCAGCACCTTTTACTTGAGATGTTTAATACTATATATTTTTTTTACCTGTTCACTTCAAATTTAGTTTAAAAAATTCAGTTTGTAATATTCATGTGTATTTTAACTATTTTTGGTAGGTAGGGAGACTTTGGAAAATGAAGTGGTAAACTGGTGCCAGTGGTTCATGCCTGTAATCCTAGCTGTTCAGGAAGCTGAAATCTGAGGATTGCAGTTCAAAGCAGGCCCGGGCAGGAAAGTCTGTGAGACTCTTCTTCCCAATTAACCACCAGAAAACCCGAAATGGATCTGTGGCTCAAAGTGGTATAGCACTAGCCTTGAGCTGAAGAGCTTAGGGACAGTCCCCAGACCCAGGATTCAAACCCCACAATGGACCAAAAAAAAAGGAAGGAAGAAAGAAAATGAAGTGGTATTATGGAAACTTAAGGTGGTTGGACATTAATCTTCTGGTAATCACATGTAATATTGGACATCCTTAAACCAATCTGCTCCAGTGTCCTAAACTTTCAACATTGTCATGATGTCAAAAGTAAATAATTCAGTGGGCTGGGAAGGTGGCTCAGTGGTAGAGCGCTTGCCTTGCATGCATGAGGCGCTGGGTTCGATTCCTCAGCAACACATAAACAGAAAAAAAAAGCCGGAAGTGGCGCTGTGGCTTAAGTGGTAGAACGCTAGCCTTGAGCTGAAGAGCTGAGGGACAGTGCCCAGACCCAGAGTTCATGCCCACTACCAGACCCCCCCCCAAAAAAAGTAAACAATTCAGTACCATGAAACCTGTTTGATGCCCAAAATTATTTAAAATTCTATTAAGTCAACTGAAAGTGTGACTGAAGTAGTAAAGCATCAGCTCTGAACAAATAAGCCATGGGAGAACTGGAGGCCCTGAATTCAAGCCCTGGTTCTGGCAAGAAAACAAAAACAATTGTCTATATAGTTACTTTCAGGCTAGATTTATAAGGTATAAATGAAGCATAAGTGAACTTCATATTTATGCGTGGGCCTGTTCCCAAGATCATTGTGTACATACGTACAAATGCATTATATGTGTGTAAATATCCCCAAAGCTAAGTGCCAAAGTACCGTGTGTGTGTGTGTGTGTGTGTGTGTGTGTGTGTGTGAGTGAGTGAACATAGGTCATGGGCACTATTGCTGTGCTTTTTTGCTCAAGGTTAGTGTTCTACCACAGCTCTACTTTTTGTGGTTAATCGGAGATAAAGAGTCTTATAGAGTGACTTTGCTCAGGTTGGCTTTGAACCTCAGTTGTCAGATCTCAGCCTCAGTTGTGAGTCACTGGTGCCTGGCCTAAAGCACTTTAGGTCTCTCCCTTCCCCCTACCCCCAAGAAAAAAATTTGTAGTCAGCTTGAACTTTTAGTTTTAAAATGGGGTCTTTCTATGTTTCAAGAGCTGATCTCACATTGTTGAACTCAAGTTATTACCCCCATGACCTCCTGAGTAGCTGAACTATAGACACTTCCTACCACATCCAGCCTCAGCTCATTAACTTGCAGTATGAACATGTAAAGAACAGATAGAACTACACGTTAAATCCCAAGAGCTGAGATTTATAGGCATGCACTACTTCATACAGTTTTTTCCTTGCCTGAAGTCATGGATAACCAAACTCCAAAATAGTTATTTAGATAGTTTCTTTGTGAGCTGATTACAGAGGTGTGGGCTTATAATCATAATCCCATAATCATGGGAGGCTAAAGTAGGAAGAATACAAGTTCCAGTTGGGGGTGTACTAAACTCTGTCTTCAAAAAGGAAAAAAAAACAGTGCTCATTTGGGATTTCATGTGGTAATATAAGCCTACTTTCGTTGATCAACTGTATATTATAGATTCTCATATTTTGATCCTTTTGATGACTTTCCACCTCAGGTAGATCAAAAAGAGCAAGTCTAGTCTTAGTTTTCCATAGGTAATACAAGCAACAAACTGTAGTTCTTATAATAAGAAACTAGATTTGTTCTTTTTTTGTGGTTGATCTCCTTTCTTACAAACAATACTTTCAGATTTGCTTGTAGGCATGAATGCACACATATACACATTAGATAAATTTGATAGTACATTATAGCCTTTGCAGTAGATAATGGCCATTAAGAAACAATTACAATCTTTGTTTTCAAGGAAAATGAAAGTATTGGAGAGCTATAATTTTGTTAGGCTGTCTGGGTATTGCTGCCTCTGAGGCAGTTGAAAGTTACTCTGGTAGTTTCTCAGTACAGTATGACTAGCTACAAAGTACCATATTTTAGTAGCAAATCTAGGAAAATGTTCAGTCATGCTAGCTAGTGCAATACAAATTATTATGTGTTTGCAGAGCCCATTTAAGTGTAGGAAATTGAGAAATAAATGTTCAGGGAAGGTGAAGTTGCTTTGCCACTAAATGGTCTCTTCCACGGTTGACAATATAAATTTACAAAACCCCAAGATAGGGGCTGGGAAGGTGGCTCAGTGGGAGAGCGCTTGCCTTACATGCCTGAAGCCCTGGGTTCGATTCCTCAGCACCACATAAGCAAAAAGAAAAAAGCCGGAAGTGGCGCTGTGGCTCA